GCTATAGTGAGGACTCAGAAGGTCTGGTATGCTCTGTAGTGTATGGCCACTACTGCTGGCAACTGTGTACTATATCTTTCAAAGAGCTAGAAGACAGAATTTTGAGTACTCTTCCCATTAAGAAATCACAACTGCTTGAGGATACAGCTAAATTTAAACTGATTTTTAACATTACTCAATCTTATGTGTTTCAAAATATTACATGGAATCCCAGTCTTGGGCACAAATACTAATATTTTTTACATGTGAGTTACCAAATAAATGTGATGATTAAAAAGAAAACTTTTTAAAGTTTTGGGTGAAAATGAAGACACTCTCAAGATGATTGGTAAAAAAGAACACTCATCTACTCAAGGAATCAGCAAGCAGATGCCAGAGTCATCCCCAAAGCGTGGCCCTGTTCAAGGAACCACGCCTCCAGATGCTGCTATGTTTGTGGGAAGCAGAAAGCCTGAAGGGATTTGGTGGTCATCCATTCCACCTTGTTTTAATTTGTTCCTGGATCCTGAGGAGGAGGCCCAGATGCTGTGATGCGGGACAAGGACAACACAAGCAATTGTATGACAATCAGTTTCTTAAGTCACCTATGAATGTGGGTTCATGGATTAATGACATGCAAGGAATAAAGGTGGCACTAGAGTCCTGAGTAGAATAAGGCACATCATCAGCCATTGATAAATGTGTTTTGAAGTTACATGTGGCCATGCTGACAGATACCTGCAGTTTCAGGCAATTTGGCCATAACTCATGGTTTTGCTGTATATTGAAACTGGTGTGGGAGAGACAATGCCTAAACTACAGAAGGGTAAAGCCCCTTAGGCCAGAAAAGTTCTACAGAATGTTTAGTGCAGTCTATTACCACATGCAAATGTGCCTTTTTTTTTTGGCCCAGATGTTCGATTTGGCAGAGAAGCATTCTTAGTGGGGATTTTACATTTCCCTTCGTGGGGCCTTCAAATGCATTTGAACTGAGAATTCCAGTATAGAAAATATAGGCTTCCTTATATGACACTAATTACAGAGTACTTTAGGCAAGTGTTATGTTATCACCAATAGCAATTTTGAGGTGTTTGAAGTGGGCCACAAAATAGGAAAGGAAAATTAAACCTGTGGGTTTTTTTAGCTCTGGGGTTTGGCAGGTGTGTTCCCTTCACCTTTATTTTTAAGCCCCAGAAAGTACCTGGATATGTTTATCAAATGGCTACATAAGAGAAAGGGTAAATGCACTGCTCTCATAATTTCTTCTCACATGTCTAATAATCAAATAGCAATTTCCTTTATAGTCAGGTGTTAGCCCTGTACTACCTGGCAGGTATAGTGAGGACAGGGATGGAGGGTCAAACCCAAATGTGACAACAGGAAGAATTTCCCAGTGTTCCCTTAACACACAGTGTGAGTACTATCGTCCTAAGGGACCCTAGAAACTCTCCCAACAAGGTGGTAGAACCAGTGCTCCACTTTAGGTTCCTCTTAAAGCTCTCCATCACACTGTAGGGAGGGAGTGTCCCTCATCAGCAAAGTTCTACTGTGCTACTGGTCAATTATGGTGCTGATCAGAGAGATGCTATGGAGAAGGGTGTGGAACTCACTTCAAGACACACAGAAAAGACTCAGATAGGTTGCAGGGTATAAGGAAGAAATTGTTGGCACTACCGCCTTATGCTGTGGACATGAACAACTTTCGAAAGAATATAAGGCTTCCAGCGGGACGGCTGTGGTCTATTTGCTTCAGGTCTATGATTCAATGGGTGTGGATTCTCTGGCTTTGCAGTTCCACCAAACTTGTTTGGCTAAACAGACTAGGGAAAGAGTTGATCATTTTGGCTGCATGGCAGCTGACCTAAGCAATTTAGGTCAAAAGTGCAAAAAGTATCAAGAAATTGTACCTTACTAGCACAAGTCTGGTTTATGCGTACTTCTATGCCCACTGTCCATATCCATTGACCTATATAACACTGCATCAATTCTCCAGTATCCCTGAAGCCAGGGATGGTACCCAGTTTATCATTGTGGCCCCTCACCTGGCCAGAAAAGACTAAGTATTTATGAAGATACAAATGAATGGAAGAAGAAAGAAGTGTTTCCTCTCATGAGTCCTTAATTCTACTTCCCTGAGATTGAATCTGCTTTTGTAAGTGTGAGGAAATAAATGGTTATATTACAGGATACTCAGAGACAAATGATTATCTCATGAACAAAGACCAATAATAAAGATTTCCCTGTTGTCCCTCAGTTACTGTTCTACCTAGTAGCTCAATTTGTTAACTGACTGCATTAAAGACCTAATTTAATTAAATCTTGGACAAGGCTCAGAAGACCTATGGAGAGCAATTGGTTTAATTACAGCCAGGGGACATGTACCAATTTTATTGATCTGGTCAAAGTCTGAGCAATAAAGATGGACAAAGGAAATAACTGTGGCCCCATTTGCTTTTGAGGCCACCCTGATGAACTGGGATCTCAAAGCCGCAACAGAAACAGAAAGGCAAATCATCCACAATATTATACAGATTCACAGAGACAAACATGAAATTGAACCTTATTCACTCTCCGAGATCATGCAAACAGAAGACCACAAGAGACAGATCCCTCTTCGGGGAAATGACTTATGCTGGGTAATGGTGGGGTGGAAGTCTTCCCGTATTTAAAGTCTACAAACGTGGCATTCAAAAGAATCTAGAAAATTCTTTAAGATTCATAATTGTGAGAAATAAAAAGAAGTCAATCTAACTCATGGGTAAACATACAAATTCCAGAGGATATTTGAAGAAACACACATCACTTTAGATTTTGTTATTTGAAGATAAATGAGGTGCACATTATATAAATTTTCAGAAAGCATAACAACAGCACAAACAACTAGGTAAAAATCATACATATTTTGACAGAAATGTATACATACTCAGAAGTGCATATGTTTACACTCAGTTATTCACTGTCCAGGTTACAGACATTCAAACACATGGATACAAAGAAGGTGTAAAGGCAACTCTTCCATACTACGCAAATCTTGACTTTTACTCAAAACAACTACCCCTCCTTTTTGAGTACTTAACTGTGTGCTGGACACAGTGTGACTATTTTGCGAGTATTATTTAATCTTCCTGAAGAAGGTATCATCATTACCCTTAATCCATGATAAAACAAACAGGCATAGAGATATCAGGTGCCTTGCCAAAGATGTGCATTGCCTTTGCAGGTCAGGCTATGAGCCCCAACAGTCAGGTTCTGGGGACTCTGGTAGTATGTGATGTGTGCACCCCCACAGTATGGTGTTCTTTGTGCTGACCTTGAGAGCTGGATAAAGCTCTGGATGGAAGGAAGACTGACTTTTTCTTTCTCTTTAGTTATAACCAAGGGCTATTCTGTGCCTCAGTAACCCAAATTAGAGAAAGAAATTTATTTTAAACTGCAATATATGGTCAGACCTAAGGCCAACATTCATGTTGCAGAACATGAGCCATCAGGATACACACTGTAAGAGCAAACACACACCTAATCAGACTATCAGTCATAAAGATTGAGAGTGTAATTCAGGAAATTACAGGTACTACAGGTCTTCATGCTAAGTCAACTTTATCACGATCGTCAGATAAAGCCTTTGCTGACTAGGAGGTTTTACAGCCCCCGATTCGAGTAGGGAGAATCTAATACAGGTGGCTTCTAGAAACAAGTTTATGTGAGCTCAGAAAGATGTTGTCCAGATAGATACAGATTAATAGCTCTTTTAATTATGATACTAGCAACAATGAGGGATGGGGCTGACAACCTTTAAAACTAGTAATTTATTCCATATCTACCCCCAACGAATATTGAAAATATCTGTACACAGTGTGAAAACAGAATGGCTGGCACTAGAGAAACAGCTCAGTAGTTAATACTGGCTTACTGTTCTTCCAGAGGACCAGAATTCAGTTCCTAGCACCATTTCTGCCAGCATACAACTAGCCACGATTCCAACTTTAGGGGATCCAACACCTTCTGGCCTCCGCAGGCATCTGTACTCTTTCAAGTCCAAATCATACACACACATAGACATAATTAAAATAATAAAAATAGATCTTTAAAGAACAGAAAGATTTACACATGCTAACATTATTGAGGAATAATAAGTTACTTCCTAAGTTAAGGAGACAAAACAACGTTAACAGTCCAAGATGTGTCTGATTAAACCCCATGTGCAGAATCACATGAGGAACCTCATATACTGCCTCGATGGAGACCGTGAGTAAAGCAAGCCCCATAATTCAAAGTGAAGTTTAGAAAGAATTGTTTCTGATAGAAGAATTAATTCTTCCACCTTCAGTCCCATCATACAAAGACATAGCCAGAACTTATGGGCCCTGGCAGGTGGACATGTATCATTGGAAAAGTTGATGCAAATGCTTCAATGCTGGACCATCAGCATCTTCAGTGACAGAAATATGCTCCGTCACCACAGTTCTCAAACAAGTGCCAGTCCTCATGGGGATGCTGGGACACCAATGCCACTTTCATCTACACCTGTGCAAACCCATATATAGGCACACTGCGCAAATGCATATGTACACATACGTAAACCCCAGTACACAGACACTCATACACACATATCTATAAAAGAGACTCACTATTTGATATGAGAGGAGCTACTATAGAGTTAAAAGAAAAATGTTAAGAAGGAAGAGGAAATTTCTATGTCTTCCAATTATAAAATATCATTAGACAGTCTTAACAGAATATTTTAATAGAGCTAGTGGTAGAAGTGCATCCCAGTAGAGTAGATTGATATTTGCTGCCCAGACATAATTTTGCCATCTCTCAGATTCAGGATTCCTGAGAAGAGTGTATTTATATTCTTAGCTCTACCCCTAAGGATCTTTGAACTACTTTTATGAACAACATCAGGACTAGTGAAAAACAGATCCCAAGATTCTGATTTCCTAAGAATCCAGGCTGCCCTTGGCTCTGTCTGTCCAACCACCCCATCCCCAGACCTAAGCCATGTCTGGCTGCATGCTCACCCGCCTCCGAAGCCTGTCCCGCTCCTCACGGATGGCATTCATAGTGGCCTTGGTCCGGTTCAGCTCTTCCTCTTTGCTGCACAGCATGGCGGTCAGGCTTTCATTCTCTTCCCGCAATCCAGCCAGCTCTTTCTCCCACCGGGACCGCTCCTCAGCCAGGCTGGGATACAGATCCCGACCAAGAACTCCCTCGATCTCCTCCACTGTCTGAAAAATAGTCATACATCAAAAGTAGGCTAACTACCATGGAGAAAGAAGTCAGGAAGGACAGAGGTTGCTCAGGAACCTGTGAGCCCAGGAACTGAATGGAGAACCCTATACACATAGTGCTATTGCTATGCATATGGTCATATCTCAGACTCAGATGAGGCTGTCACTTGCCTGCATCCTAGTTTATGCTACTCAGCAATTCCCAGAGTTAAGAACAATGGGGTCCCTTCTTGGTGCTGAGTCTGTGTGTAGTGCCCACACAATGTTTATTTTCTTAAGAAGCCCCAGAGTTGGTCAATTCGCATCCAGACAGCAGGCCGGAGAGTGATCCTGAAAATGCTGTGACAGACATGAGGTTGCAGCCTGTGCATGGTGCCTAATTGTAAGTTTCCTAAATTACAGGCCTTCCGTGAGCCAGCTCTGCAGTAAGGCAGGTGACATCACCATTTCCCACTCTCGGTGTCACATCAGAATTCAGATGGTGTGAATGAGGTTCAGTCCCAAGATGGCAAAGACAAGAATAAAGCTTCAGTGGCACCGGAAAGGGCGGGCCTGTCGGGGAGGTTCCTCAGACAGCGGGGATTGATTTAGTTAATAAGATGGATATGACACAAATAGAAAATAATCTTATTATTTGGAGAGTTCTTTAAACATGGAATTAAATGACCAGGAAGAAGCATATAATTGAAAGGACTTTCTCTGCTTGCCCTGAGGACTATTCATCCATACTGTCCTTTACAAAAGATCCTAGGCCAGCTGGTTTTTAAATAGAAGGGGAATTGCTGAGCAGAGAGAACACATGCTGATGAAAAACAGAAGAATACCAACACAAAACACATAGTAGTGGTCAGCCATTTGTAAGGGCTCACACCAGTTCCCCCCAGGAAAACAAGCAACCCAAATCCTGCTGCCTCTTTCCCTACGTGATCCTTTGTCCTTCCTTTCAAATCCAAGAGAGTCTATTTGGCTCTGATTTCTCCACTGCTAGTTACCAGAAGTTCTTGTTCACACCACCCTCACCCCACTCCTGAGGAGAATTGAGTTCCAAGTTAGCGTTACAATCAAATCTGGGACTTGGGAGGTTCCAGAGACAGAAGCACCAGTGGGTGAGTCCTTCCCATCTGCAACTGGAGAAGCAGCTGTACTGGAATGGCATTCGGTGATTCATCTAGTGGCACTACCACCCTCTTGGGATATCCAGAATTCTTCCTGACAGACAAGTCTGCTCCTTTGCGTAAGTTCCTGTAAGACTTGGAAGTATAGGCTGCAAGGTCCAGGACACTAAGCCATAATGAAGTAATAGAAATACAACTGAGGCCCAGGATCAAGAAGGGCTTGACCTCCCTATTATTCTGAAAGAGGCGAGGCTGTGCACACCCTGTTCCTCTTACTCCATATTTTCTCAGAAGGAAAAAGGTGTGGCTGAGACCCACTGGCTGGGGATGGGGTGTCTCAGCTAGACCCTTATCCCTAACCTCTTCTATCCACAGACTGCTACCTCATAATGTTGGGTTTCTACGAATCTTAAATCTGTGAGAAAGCCTCTAAGGTCAACTTGCAACATAACAATACTATGGTGGCTGGCTACAGTGGCATACACCTTTAATCCAGCACTTGGAAGGCAGAGCAAGGTGGATTTCTATGAATTTGAGGTCACTTTGGTCTACAGTTCCAGGCCAGGAAGGGCTACATGTTGAAATCCTATCTCAAGAAGAAAAAGGAAAAAAATAAAATGGTGGGACACCCCAAAATGATGTGGTTTAATGCTACAAATGTAATGATTTCCAAGTAAATCATCTTTTTTAGTGCAAAGCCAATGCTTGTCATTGTTGATATGCCTTTTTCCCCCTTGGAGTAATTTAGCCCAAGAAATATGTATAGGGCTCTTGCTTTTAGCTGATGGCTCAATATATTTTGTATGGCTTTCAATGGCTAATAGGTATTCAAGAAAACTTTATGTCAAGAAAGGAGTTTGCCCTCTCCTTTCCCCTTCCCTCAAAAAGGCAAGCAAAGCAGGAGGAAGGCTCACCTTAATGGCCAAGTCACAGTGTTCGCTGGCAGTTGTGAGCTGCTCAATGTGTCTGTCCACCTCAGCCACAGAGAGGCTACAGCTGCTCTTCTTTCTGCCGCAGACAACACTCTCCAGACCTGTCAGCACCCTCTGCAGTTCTGAGTTCAAGTCACTGCAGTTGTCTAAGAGGAAACAAGGATAAAATCCATTAAACAGGCAGACCGGCAATGGGCATTCTCCATTGTTTTCACCATGAGGGGCCCACCTTGGAGCAGTGGTGCTTTCAAAGCTAACATCATCCATCCTCATCACATGGGCTGCTAGCTGAGGCTTGCAGCCAATACACACCATTTATTAAGGAGTTTTAGACTTTTGCCATTTTTAAAATACCTGTACCACCCAGAATTCTCATGCCTTTCAACCAAGGGCAACCATACTGTGTCTTGCTAGTAAGAGCAAAAATGCCCCAGAAGAGACTTCAACAAACTTCTAGTCAAACCCTCTTGCTCAACCATTCAGACCAACACCAATTCCACAAGTTCATTAAAGATCTCACAACTTCACTGAACAACAACAAAACTCAGAATGAGCAGAAATACAGAAACTGGGGACTGGAGAGATGGCTCATCAGTTAAGAGCACTGGCTGCTCTGCCAGAGAACCCAGGTTCAATTCCCAGTATCCACATGACAGCTCACAGCTGTCTATAACTCCTGTTCCAGGGTATCTGACACCCTCACACAGCATACATGTAGGCAAAATACCACTGAACATAAAAAAAAATTATACATTTAACAAAATCTAAATTATAAAAACCTAATCTTGCCTTCCATAAGCTTCCAGTCTGCCCCGCTCCCATACGTCAACTAAGAATGCCCCACCTGTGCAGTTTAATCCATTTCTTCCACTGAGGGAATAACAAACTTCTAACGAATGCCATTGTTACATGTGAATGTAAAAAATTCTAATAATTTCACCTTATCTGGGTTGCTATGAAACTCTTGGACCCTGGTGTCTGGTCAGGAAAACAATATTAATTATAATATGGGTTAGATACATGTTATATAATAGCTTTGTTGTGACAAAAATTCCTTAAGAATCAACCTTTCTTTACCCATTGTTCCGGTTTCTGAATATTACATACTCTTTAATTTTTGTAGCAAGTTATATGTGGAGGATACTACAGTCTCCTGAAGTCAATCCTTCCCCTAAACCTAGCATGCTTCCTGCATGCAAGAAATTAGTATCTTCCCAGTTTTACTTCCAGTCACAGGTTCAATGCACCAACATGGACGACTGCTTGTTTGTTTGTTTGCTTTTGCTAAGCTTTGGAGCACTTTGAGAGAATGCTCAGCATCATGGGAAGCAGATGTCTCAGGACATTTGAACCACCCTCACTTCCTGCCCACATCTATTCGTTTCCCAAACCTAGAGAGCAATCAGCAGGAGGCTTTCTCTCTGACACAACGATTCCATCTGCTCCTCACCATCACCTCTTTCCACCTCCCCCTCCTCTGTGATTGGAACCCACCATCCATCCAGTTACCCAAGTCAACTCTGAAGCGAACTCAGGGCCCTTTGTGTCCCACCCTGAATCCAATCCATCCTGTAACTACAACCTCCCAAACTCGTTCTCAGGTTGAGCAACTCATCTTCCTCTCTGCTGATACCACTGTGCTCCAAACCACCATTCCTCTTCAAGTTGGTCCTCTCTCCTCTCCCCACAGGGCAGTTAAGAGTGCACCTCTTTAAAGACAGATATGGCACCTTCCTAGGACAAACTGTCCAATGGCTTCCCCTCCTCCTTACCTCTAAACTAAGATCAAACTCCTTACTACAGGCATTAAAAAACCCTCTGAATATCCGAGACTCATGTGCTCAGCCTGGGCTACACCATGAAAATCCTTGGGGAGCATTTATAAAATGCCAATGCCAGGGCCCCACCCAGACCAATTAAATTATGATCTCTGGGGGAGGGGCCTAGATACTGGGAATGTTTTCAATTCCTCACTAGCTTAGCTCTTTGATCCTCTATCCCTCCATGTGTCCCCTGCTCTTTCCTGCTATAGGGTCTGTCTATCTATCTATCTATCTATCTATCTATCTATCTATCTATCTCACTCTCTCATATGTCAAATTCTCATTTCTCCCAGATGTCTCTCTGCTACTTCCTCTGCCGACACTCTTTTCCATTTACTGTGAGGCTCAAACACTGCTTCTCTATCAAGGTCCTCCTACCCAGAGCATGGGGATTTCATCTCTCGTCTCTGCCCAGTCTCAACCCCATTATCCTGTTTTGTTTGTGGCAAACATCACTATCTGATAATGACATGTATGTTTATTACCTTTCCCTCTTAAAGATGCATGCATTATGAAAGAGGAGACTTTGATCTTCCTCATCACTGCATCTCAAAATAGAACAGGGTAGACAATCAAAAACAATTTTAAAAGAGTAAAAATCAGCACTATACAGTTGAGTCAGCAACACAGAGAAACAAGACTCTGTCAGCACTAGAATACTTTACATTGGTGATAAGCTTTTCTTCCTCATTATACACAGGGGATGCTGAAGGGGGTTTGGGGTGGGAGAAGATGGTCATCATAGCATTCACCAGGACAGGAAAGACATGGGCTCAGCTCCAAACTGAGGCAATTTGGTCTAAGTGTGAAGCAGCTCATTCAGTTAACACACAATCTAGTCTCTGAATGACCATTCATGCTCAGGCACAGGTTGCTTGGTATCCAGGCTTCGTGAACACACATTTCCAGATCTGTAGGTCCTTATCAGCAGGGCTAGGAAAAATGATTTCTATTCAGCCATTCAACACTTTGTCCATACAGGCCTACCTGATGGTGTGTGGGTCATGCTGGTTATATCTGCTAAACAGTTCTTGGGGTACAGCAGCAAAGTGGTAGCCAGGCCTTGGGGAACAGAAGGAAGAGTGGGGACAAGGGTTCTGGCAGTATCTCTCACCCTGTTGTTGGACAGTGTCTGGGCCCTGACTGCAGTCTGAAAGCAGAGTTCCTGGATGAACAAGAGACTGTCTTAAATTCTGAGAAGCTCACAAGTGTTGGGCACCAACACTAAAGTCCTTCTCTGAGGAACCTGCCACCTGCCTGGAAATGTTGCCCTAAAGAGCACAGGGCCACACTGTCTCCCCTGTGAAGAATGGTAGGAGAGGGACATTTAAGTGAATGTGCAAAGCCTGATGTACTGGTGCATCCTGGGAAGCCCAGCACTGGAGAAGTAGAGAGAAGAGGTCATCCTCAGCTATGTAGTGCTGTTTAAGGCAGTCTAGAGTTCAGGAGATCCTGTACTCCAACAACCAACCAACCAACCAACCAACCAACCAACCAACCAACAAACAATTATATTAGAAATACTCTGTCTTTCTGTCTGAAAGGAGAGTTATAAGTCTTTTCTTTGGTCTTAGGAAGGCGATGTATATCTTCTAGATGATGACCCCCTAGCCCCAGCACCCCCAGTCTGTTATTCATATACACTCCTCTAATTATCTACTGACATGTCACTGTCCTCTGCCACTGTGCTCTATTTGGAGACTCAAGGAAAACCAGGTGGTCAGGCTAGTGTACACAGATGTGGGCTGTGGTGTGGGGAGGGGTGTGAGACATTGTCACCAAGCACCCATTCCACCATCACCCAGTTATCAGTACTGCTCCAGACAGGGAAGATTGGAACTGGTGGCATATTTTTCCACATATTCACTTGTAACAATTAGAAACTTCTTCATCTGACACAATCCAGTCCTAGCCAGAAACTCAACATTCAATACCAAAGGCTATGGTAGCCGGTCTGCATGAACAGAGAGTATTTGCAACATTAAGGTGTTCCAGACAGAGCAGTAGGTCCTTCAGGGAAGTGGCATTTGCAATTAACCAGAGCAGAGCCAGCACCCCTCACAGCATAGTATGGACTGTCTCTCTCAAGTCACCCACATCTTCATGGCCTGACCAGACAGGCAGGTCAGATGCCTCTCACAGGCGATGTCTTAGTGTGAGGACTTTTCCTCACTCACTCAAGCTACACGGGGTAGTCAGGAGAGCAGGAGCCAAGGCAGAGGCTCCCTCTCTATAGCCAGGGTCATGCTACCAACCACAGCAATTGAGAATAGGGCTCTCTGGGCATAGAGTCACAAGTCTGTATACTGCCTTCCTTGTTACAGCCCTTAGAAGAGTCAACAGAGGGCAAGTGCATGGGTGATATTAACTCTGAAAGGACTCTGAGAGACTAAGGAATTTTTATGCTAATTCTGTGACCAGAATGTGACTGAGCCTTAATAACATTACGTTACATGAAATGAGCCAAGGACACATACATGATTCTACTTTTGTGAGCTGTTTAGAAGAAGCAAATACTTAGAGACAGAGAGCAGAAGGGAGGCTGGGAAGGCTACATCAGGCAGTTGCTGTTCTGTGTGTGTAGCGTTTAGGGAGTAAACAGGATAGTGGTGACGGCTGAATAATTATGGATGCACCTGAAACCCTGGACTGTTTACTTGAAAGTGTTTACCATGTTGTATATCACGATTATATATATAATCACAACAAAAATAGTAAGCATATAACAGTACATGAAACAGGAACACAAAAGCTAACAAGCATGCAGGAAGTAGAAAACACCTCCAAGTTTAAGCTTGGTTCAGAAGGAAGCTGAGGGGCTGCTCATTAACAAATGCCTGGGGTAGGGTGGAGGAACACAGGATAAAGATGCAGGAAACCTCGACAACTGCTGAGAGTTATGGGCTTGTTCACACTCCAGCTGACATGTAAGGGACCTCCAGGAAGGGCTGCACGGAGGGGCTTCAGCAACGAAATGCTTTATGAAGAGAAGGTGAAGAACCTTCAGGAGACAGGAGGCTCTCTGTGCCCAATATGCATTCTTTAACATGGCTTACTTACATCATCCCTTAAAAGAAAAACACTAGCAGCTTTTGACAAGCAGCTACAAATGACAGGGACGCAGAGCCAGTGGGACCAGGGAAGACGGCTTTGGAAGCAAATCCAGAACAGCACAGCTGCGGGGCTGGTTTTGTCTATTTAGCCCTGAACTTTCTGGCTGCCAGAGAAAAAGTGAATTATCTCCTGTCAGAAGGGAGGAAGCATTCCAGGTTCATAAGAGAGACAATGAGTGTTTGGAAACAGGTCTGCAAGAGCTTAGGTAC